GTGGGTTGGATCCGTGACTTGCTTCTGTCCCAAAGAGTGTGGCACAGGCCGTGGGCATCAGTTACCTTTCACAGTCTGGACCTGGGCCAGGCACGGCCGGCCAGAACCTAGGTCCTTTGTCTAGAGCCTCAGATGTGGATTCACTAACACCTGGTCAGGCTGGAAGTGGATTCTCAGAGAAACCCCTGACCTGAGGACACAGCTCCAGTAGGCACGGCAACCTCCACAGACCCCGGACAGAGAGCCCAGGGCACCAGGAGATGAAGCTGTGTGCTTTGAGGCAATGAATTTGCACTGCATTCGCACCAATTTGCTTCCCAGAAGCAGACAGCTGAATAGAGCTGTCTGGAGCAATTCATAAAAACAAACTTATGATCAAGGGGAAAAGCTCATAAAGTTTTAGTCTCTTGAGGGCAACTTTTCCTGACTACAGATAAGAAAGAGGGAGTGGGACCTGGAGCAGAGCAGGGGACGTCTGGAAGAGTCTTGGTCACAGGGATTGCTCCTGGAGGGGCCAGAGCATTGAGAGAGAGAGAGAGAGAGAGAGGGAGAGAGGGAGAGGGAGGGAGGGAGAGAGAGGGAGATGCTGGCATTCTGAGGGGCCGGCACTAATCGGGAAGCAGGCGGTCACAAACTCCTTTCGCTAAGCAGCACGGAAGAGGGTCTTCATCCTGCAGAGAGAGGCAGGCAGGTCTCTGCAAAGGAGGGGCTGAGTGCAGGAGTCTTTTAGGCATGTAGGGTGTGGGGCAGGTGGAAGAAGGAGGTGAGGCTCCAGGTGGGAGGTGAGGATAGCCACCCCAGGTGCTTGGCACCATCAGAGCCCAGCGCTGCTCAGTCCTGCACAGGAGCAAAGGCGAGGGTAGAGGGTGGGCCTGTAGAGGGAGGGGGACGCTTCTCCCCGCTGGCAGCGGGATGCCACTTGGGAAGTGAAGGAGTGAAGAGCAGTAGGATTGTGCAGACCAGCAATAACGATTCCGCCCCGAGAGACTGACGAAAAAGGAAGGGTTTGAGTCTAGGATCAGTGGGCCACGCACACAGTCTTCCCAGTCCGTGGGCAGGAAGTGAGAAGGATAGCAGGAAAGAGCTGGAAGTCACTTCAAAAGAGGTCAGCAGGAATCTAAAATTGTTAACCACAGTGCAAGAGAAAAGAAGGAGAAGGGAAAAGGGCAAAGAGGAAGAGTACACAGGCTGGGGGTCCGCGGCTGAGACACTCGGGGTCCACATCCTCCCTCAAGGTCCGAATCTCCAGGAAAACAGGCAGAAGCACCTGGCTCTGTCTGGCATGGAATCTGTCTTCCCAGGACCGAGGCAGACGTGTAAGGTGACAGAACTGGGGACTGCATGAGGGGAGGTCCCGGGCAGGCCCGGCTAGGAAGCAGGGCTTTGAAGAATGTTTGCAGAAAGTCCAAGCACTGCTTCTTATACAGATTTGGTGAAATCACCTAGGCAAGCACAAAATTCATGGTACTACGTGCCATCCTTAGCCCCTGCCAGCTGTCAGGCAGAGTCTCCTTGAGGGCCGTCTCTGCCATCGCCCTGAGCAGAAATGGGCCGCAGTGCTGTTTCAGTCCAGGTCGCTATGGTGTGCGCTTTCCTACTTTCACTTCTCTGCTGTTATTATATCTGCATTTTCATATTTCAGTCTCTCCTGTGTACATTCATCCAGTTGGTGAGAAATGACAGCTACTAAGAAAGCTGAGGAAATACAAGATTACTCAGAGTTGAGTTGAGGTTTGCTTTGACAATGAAATTTAATAGAATTCTTGTCACATGCACAAGATAAAAAAATAATAACAACGTCTACGATTCGCTTAGATATCTTTGTTGGTAATTCAGTGCAATGGTTCATTTTAACTACTACTGAGAGAGCAGACCAACCCTTGGTATGGAACTGGGCACTAATAACTCTGTCATCAGGCAGCTATGGGTTACCTGGGTAACTGTGCTCTTTGTGGAATGCACCTGAGTAACCACGACAACTTCTGTGATCTGTCACCAAGGGAGCCTAGGGACTCAGAAAGTCCTGCCAGAGCTCTCTGCTCTCTCCTGCTCTGCTGCTCTCATCATGTGAAACCTGCTTGCTGTATTTCCAGGGAAACTCTGAGGAAAGTAAGCCTTGTAGATGTAAAAACAGGGCCATAAGAAAGTACAAACTTCTATCTGGGCTCTCAAGGTGATTTGAATCCCTTGTAGCCCCTGGCTAATAAAAGCTGATTTGCTCCTACTCTGCGTTTGGTGGTCTGTGTGGGGACTTCACAGTGTCACACCTCACTCTCCAGTAGAATACTAAAATTTTGTGTACTTTTAAAATTATTAAGCTAATGAGCATGATTCTTGAAGTCTATATATGACACTTTAAAGGCAAATATAAACAAGAAAATTTACAATTATTGGGCCAGGGACTTAGTTCAGTGGTTTCGCCACCTGCCTCGCAAGGACAAGGTCCCAAGTTTGAGCCCCGGTACCAAAAAAACAACAACAACAAAAACATCACAATTATTTAATGTTTTAAATAGCTAAATCATTGAATGTTCACAATGTATTTTTAAAGGTTTTTGAATGATAAAAATAGTGGCATAAGAAAAAATCTTTAAAACTGACGCACCAACTGTTTATGATGAACAAGTTTGAAACCCAGACGATCCACAAAAATGAAATTCAGTTAACTTGAAATGTCACATCCCTACACATTCTTAAAGCTCATCAGCTAAAGTTTCAAACTTGTCAGTATTTTATGGAAATGGTTTGCTCACATCAACTTTAGATAAATTATGAGGTATAATAAAGGCAATGTACACTCACAGTTACTCGTTGATACTTTGTTAACAGGAAAGCCACCATTTAACCATTCCTCCCTGCTTTGTGACCCTTACAACCTGTTCCTCCGTCAGCACAGGCTTCACTCAACTGTCTGGGGAGCCAAAGCTCAAAGACTAAGCTGATGATGCCACCGAGTTCTATAAGTACCCTGTGCACAATTTATAAGTCATGCACCGCTGACCCTGAAACATGATCTTCACTACAGTTTATGTCCATGAAGCATTTCAACGAAATCACACAAGAGGACAAAGGAGGCCCGTCAGAAGCTCCCCTCTGCTGGCTCAGCTCAGTCTGCACGGCCTGGTGTGATAAAACTCAGGAAGCCCTGACCAGAGGCTCCAGGACTGCTCTGGGGTGAAAGCTGTAATTATCTCAGCAGGAACAATGAATACCATGGTAACGCAGAGAGACTGTTAAAGATCAAGCAATTTACTTCACCACGAAAGAATATAAGGACAACAAGGAGAACTGTAGTTTATCTTTACAAGCCGTCAACTTCATACCATGCTCTCTATCATTATCCAGGAGAAGTCTGAGGGTCTGTACATTTACTTGGCTCAGCCTCCCCAGGCAGCCTGTCCTGACTGCAGGAGACTGCCTCCTCCCATGGAGCTGAGTCCTGGCCCTTTCCTGTACCTGCCGAATGTGACAGTAAGACAAGGAGAAGCTGTAACACCTCCTTAAGGGTCAGGTGCTTCAGATGGCGAAGTGGTTTCGCCCCACCAGAGCCTTCTCTTCTGCAAGCCAGCAGCCTCACTCTTTTGGCCTCTTCCTCGCTGTAGTAGTCAGCTTTCCTGTTGCTACTGACATTCGAGGGGAGATTATTCCAGCTCAGTTCCAGAAGGTCCCGTATGTGGTCCGCGGGCTGGAAGGCACAAGCGTCACGGTGGAAGGGCGCGGAGGACGACAGCTGCTCTGTTCCTGGAGTCCAGGAGGCCGGGGCAGGGAAGAGTGCAGGGGAGAGGGTCCAGAAAGCAGACACAGTTCCCAAGGTCACAGTCCCACGTCCCACCCCGAAATGTGCTGTGTGAACAGCCTCAGTGTCCCCCAGCCAATGCACCAGATGTCAAGATGAGCCACGATGCCGGCGCAGCAGAGCTCCCCCAAGTCCTGACGCACTTTGTCTCAAAACCTCTTCTCTGCGGTGAAATGTACCAGGTCCTCAGATTAAACTCCACCGCCCCAGGCCTCCTGCCGCCACTGCCTTAGATGATGCGTTTCTATTCATGCAGGCGTCAGCTTGATGAATTAGGAAGGGGTAGCCCCGCATCACACGATTTTCCTGAATCACACCCGCCAGGACATCCTATGCAGGCTTCATTTGTGGAGATGATGAAACGTTTTACTGACTCTCCAGCCACTCTGCCCTCCCAGAGGACGAGGGTGCACCTGAAGCACCAGGCTCCTAAACACGGCTTGGTCTCTTGGTGTCCAGCCTCTGTCCACGAGCCACGAAGAGCCATCCCTTTAAAGCAAATGTGCTCTTCTTACCCAGGCAATTCCGGGGGAATCTGGGCCAGAGATGATGTATTTCTCATTCTGCAACACCATCCTTTTCAGTGGACCCAACCTAACACAGGCTTCCTGAACCAGGAAAAAGCCAAACGCAAGTGCTCTACAAGTTGCAGCCCGCTCCCTACGGCTCACATGACCTGGGCTCCCCCAGAAGACAAGCCAAAGCCTCCTAACTCCTCTGGTTCCCAGGAGCTCAGACCCCATACTCCACCCTTCACTGAGCCTCAGGATGAATGGGTTTCTCTGCTTCTCAGCTTTAACTTCAGGTCTCACCTTACAGAAATCCGAACTGGACCTAAAATGAACTGTGTTTGTGATGTCCATTTTATTAGGACAAGAAGGCAGTTCTGCATTTTTTTTACAGAGTCGGTTTCAATTGAGAAGGAAGCCAAGGCAGTTGTCAAATCTATGTTACCCCGGGGTATTCAAAACGCGCCTGGAATCACACAGCTGTGGTTTGGGGGCGTTGCAGTTTATTATACCACACACCAATCTGCAGCAAGCAGCTCATTTATTAGACACAGATTTCTTGCCTACAAATGCTTCCCACGATGTTTCTCTTTGCAGCTTTTTTTCTGAGCTCACAAATTACTACATCAATCAGAATTTCGTCTGCTTCTGGTGCTGCAGGGCTAGTACAGCTTAGGAAGCAGAGGAAAAGGAGCTTTCCCTCAGGAGCCCACCGGAGCCAGCACCTGGTGCTGGGATGGAAAACGATTCAGGGCATAATCCTGCCCTGGAGGCGCTTAGGCAGGACGAGTGGGGCATTTTATGGAGAGTCCTATTATGAGGTAGGTGCAGGTGAGTGACTGTGGATCTTTGGATGAGATGCGGGAGGGAGTGCAGAGAGGAAATCTTCCAGCTGAGAAAATCCAGGGAGCTTCCTGAAGGGTTTGCCATTTACTTCAGGCCTTGCAAGGTGAGACGAATTTAGGTATTTTGGGATACAGGCGAGGATAAGAAACACAGGAAACCAACGACCACACTCAAGGAACGGTGGTGTCTGTGTCTCTATGTAAGTGAGACCAGATGCGTCCTGCTTCTTGACACCATGAGCAGGGGGTCTGAGATGGGATGGTTGTTTTTGTTTAGCAGATCCCCCAGACCACTTGTATTTATCACCTCTGTCCTCTCAATGCAGCACTCCGGTGAGCTGGAGAGTCCTGTGGCGCACACCAAGCTTAGGACACTCCAGCCCCACTAACCCTAACCCACCCAGACTGGAGGGCCAGCACCATCGCCTGAGGCCATGCTTCGACCAGCATCCTGGCCCTGCCCAGGAGTTCTCATTCTGCAGGGCCAACAAGCTCCCCAACAAGCTCGAAGTTTAGGCGTAGCACAGTAATCCAGGTGAGAAACACTGGTGGCCACAACAGAGAAATGACAGTGAAAACTGAGGGTTGGGTATACTTTGAAATGTTCGGGAAGAAATCCATTTACTTATTTACATGCTGAACAACACTGCTGACCTCCCCGCTCCTGGGAGACGTTTTCTAGACCCTGGGGAGAAGCAGCGAGCTTCCCCAGGGTGGGCTACATCCCATCCACCAGGAGGACACAGACTGCAAATGAACAAGGCAACAACGGGCTTGCTCTAGGGTGACAAATGCAGTGGGCAGAATACAGCAGGTGCCTGCGGAGCGACGGGCTGGGCTCAGGAGCCAAGTCGGAGTAAGTCTTGTGGATCAGGCAGGCCTGAAACCCAGAGGTGAGGCAAGTGGACGGATGACCCACGCAGAACCTGGGTGGAAAAGTGCAAAGGTTCTGAGGCAGGAGCACATGTGCCATAGCTAGGTGAAGGCAACGCTGTGCTCTGAGTGTCTGTGTGTATTCTGAACAGCCACCTGCAATGTGAGGCTACAGGATGTGGCTGTGCCTAAGCATCCAGGCTACAGTGTGAGGGACAGATAGGGACAGCTGAGAAGTCAAGAGCGTCTCCGGAGCAGGGTGTGCGAGAGGAAGTCAGAGGGGGACACCAAACCACTGGCTGGAGTGGGGCAGAACAAGGCCTCAGATGCCATCCTGTGTGTGCCTGGGATCCTCCAAAGATACAAGCAGAGAGGCAAATGAGAGTCAGATGTGTTATTCTGCCTGCTGGAAAGGAGACTGCAGATGGTAAAGAGAAGAGCAGGGTCAGGAGATGTCTTGCTGTTTTCTGTTGCGGAAACAAGACACCCAAGGCTGGGTTCTCTAGAAAGAAAGACTTATTTTGCTGACAGTTTGGGAGAATGAAAGTCCAAGATTGGGCAGCCCATCCTCTGGCCTCCAGCACACCACAATGGCAGGAGCTCATGGAGCGAGCGAGTGTATGGTGAGACGAGAGGAAAGAGCTGAAGGGGGCCATGCGGGCTCTTCCACAACAACACACCCTCCTGGGACGCAAGCTCCTCCTGCAAGGCCAAGCCCAGCCGACACTACACACCTTCACAGGGCCTCTTCACAAGAGCGTCAGCCGTGACTTCTGCGATGGGTGAGGAAAGAGGTCACATCTTCCACCACGAACAGAACGGGATTGTAGGTGACACCGCTGGGGAACGTGGTGTAGTTGTCGATGAAAGTGAGGGCTCCTGCCACGTGTATAACTGGAAGTCTATTCTGGGATGTGACTGGCTAGAGCAGGAGGACAGAGAGAAAACACTTCCAAAGACTTGAAGTACTGCTATGAATTGAATCGTCCCCCCTCAGATTCATATGTTAAAGCCCTCGAGTGGTGCCAACACCTGCCTCACAAGTGCAAGGTCCCAAGTTCAATCCCTGACTAAAAAGAAAAGAAAAGGAAAAGAAAAAAAAGAAAGAAACCATTAAAAAATTAATTAAAAACCTCTCCATTAGCCAGATTTCTCATTTCTGGGGAACGTAATTACTGGACACCTGAAATTTTAAAAAGGAGAGTGTTAATTTGGCTCATGCTTTCAGGGGATTCAGACCATGGCCAGTGGACTCCAAGGCGGGACCATCACAGTAGAAAGGTGTGGAGGACTAAAGATGCTTAGTTCATGGTGGCCAGGAAGCACAGCAGGGAAACAGTATCAGAGAGGAAGGATGAAACACCAGACAGAGACCCCAAAGCCACCCCTCCAATGAACCAGCCCAACACACCCAGAAAAGTGTCCTTTACTAACTACTGGTGGATCCCAAGGTCAATCAAGCTGGCACTTCACCTCAGCTGACACAAACCCTAATCCCAAAGTGACTATATTAGGAATGGGATCTTCAAAGAGAAAATTAAAGTTGTAAGACATCCTAAGAGTAGATGCCTAGTCCAATGTGACTGAGCTCCTTCTATGATGAGCACAAGACATCAGGAATGCAGATGACAGAGAGATGGCCGTGCAAAGACACACACCACACTCACAGTCACCAGCCATGGTGTGAGGGTCCTGGGCAGTCCCTGCAGACTCCCGGATCAGAGACTTCCAGGCTCTGGGACCGCACAAGCGAGCATTTCTGTTGCCCAAGCCACCAATCTGTGGTGTTGCCACCTGAGCCCTGCAGACTAACACAGCTGCCGCGTGGTTTAGAATGCAACCCAACAAGACAAACTCTGCACAGTCAATGGAGAAGGAAGGACCAGCAAGGCCAACGAGGAGCCAGGAAGAGCTGATCCAGCACAGAGCCCATGGGAAACGAATCAGGATTAAGGATGTCAGCACTGCTCACCCACAGACGTGAGAGGGACTAACAGCATTCCCAGAACTGGGCAAGAGGAAGTCCTTGTGCGAGCAGGTGTCGGGAAGTCACTGGGAGAAAGCCTGGTGGGGGAGCATGAGGACAGGGGAGGACGGGGCAGTGAGGACAGATGGCCTCAGGCGAGGGAGGGTGGGGAAGGGGACAATGACACCCGAGGGCAGGTGGTGGTGCCCTGCCTTCTGGTTACTCTGGAAAACACTAGCACTTCTTCCCCAAGACTGTGCTGTGGGTTACGTGGAGCTGGGGGAACAGTAACCTCCACAGGCCAGAGACCTCCAGGCAGCAGTTAGGAGGGTGACACTGCAGACTCGCAAAGCACACTGAGAATGCCATTTCTGGCACTGAGAAAGCTCAGAAAGAATGCGGATAGGATATCCCATCCTGCCCATTCCTGCATGCAGTAAACGGTCTCTCCCACCTTATAGATGGCAAATCTGCAGCCTTCCTACAAAACACCACATTCTGGGGTGCAGTGCAGAGGCACTGTCAAAGGCAAATACGATCTACAGACTGTTCTGCTGCTGCGCTTGTAAACGAAGCAGCAGTCTGGGCCTCTGACAGAGTGTGCCTTTTCCTACGACAATTACAGCCATTGTTTTCTCTTCCATGGATGGCTGTGGGCACAAGGAATCAGAAAACCCCAGGTTTACCCTGGTGCCGGCAACGCTGTCGAAAACTTGAGGGATCAGAGACTGCAGCTGTGGTGGTCATTCAGTGACCTAAGCTGCTTGCTTTTTTGTTTGTTTGTTTTTCACTTAGAATTTAATCAAAATGGAAGCATGTGGAGAGTTAGCAGGTTTCAGGTTCAGTCATTAATTCTTACCACACAGTGCCCTTTGTGGAGGCAGTATCACAGAAATACTGAGCAAGAAACTGACAGAGGTGGAGGTCACTGAAAATAGGAGACAGCATCTTATTGGTCAGACCCTATCCCACTAATTCCCTTCCTTTTCCCTAAATATGACAGATACTGGGTTCAAAGTTCCAAGTGCACACGCAGAGATGCATGGAGGCGTGTGCAGGAGGAAGTGAATGGATCTGCTTGTTCTCACTCCCTGGAAAATCCCGCCCAGCTCAGACACCGGGAATCAGCACCGCAGACAGCAGGGAGGAGGCTGCCTTGGCTTCAGAAGGCTGCTCTGAGTTGCACAGGGGAGGACTAGGGCTCGGGGGGCTGGGGGTATCCTGGGAGCCACGGGGCACAGGTCCCCAGGCAGAGTGCATTTCCACTTGCCCCCCCAACTCTCCCCAGGGATCCGTGGGAGGGATTTGGACCCCAGAGCTGCACAGTGCCCTTCAATCCTGTGTGCACAACTCTGGGCTCTGCAGGGTGGCTGTGTAAAGGAGACTCATGTGGATCTGTGGGTCCCGGCAGGAGGCCACTATCATGCTGCCCCCCACCCCCGCTGCAGAGGGTAACTTCAGGAGAGACAAGCTGGGGGGACTACGGAGGAGAGGGGAGGAGGCAGGACATGCAGCTCACACCTGCAGACTGTTGGTGCTGACAGCAGACAGGACGCACGGCAGCTCACAGCCAGTCCTACCCCAGGCCCGAGTGGCCCGAGGCCCAGGACAGGCCCAGTAGAGATGCAGCAGGCGGCTCCGAGACTGTGGCTCCCCAGGCAGCAGGGATAGAAGAGATGCTGGGGTCTCCTCTTCTGGCGCCACAGTGCTGTGTCCGCGTGTGACAGAACACACGAGCATTCGTTCGGCTTCCCTAACCTAATCTACTCAAGCAGGGTGTGCACGAGTGCTTCTGGATTCGTTTCCTAGGTTCACTACAGAAAGGTGGCTTGAAGCAAAATCAGGGCTCCCTCTCCCAGTCCAGGAAGTCAAAAGTCTGAAGTCAAGTGCAGGCAGGGTGGGTTGCATCCAGGGGAACTCAGAGGGGAAACCAGGCCTGGTGTCTCTCCCAGGGGCTGGGGCTGCCGCCTCCTGCTGCAGCACTGCATCTTGGCCTCCGTTTCCCATGCCTGTCTCTCTCTACATTCAGGTCCCCATTTTTCTGAGCACACTAGCCATGAGGACAGGGCCCACCCCATTCCAGGAAGAACTCCTAGCTTGGTTACTCCCCATGGGCCCTCAGCGGTCACATTCAGGGGTCCTGGGTGAATGCAAACTTCGGAGGGCCCAACTGAACCCAGTGCCATACCGGGTGGGATCGTTCTGGGGATTGAGTGCATCAATACAAACGAAGTGTTTAAGAGGCAACTGGTGCAGTCAGAGCAGAAAAGAAGGGGTGTGCAGTTGCTCAGTGCTACTTGATAACATGAAACATCCCTTTCAGTCCAGGTCCTCTTCCTGCTTCTCGCTGTCTCAGTGATTTTAATTCCTGGAGCTCATGTGTTGGCCTGCAGCCTTTGTGCTTTATGATCACAATATAAATCAACGATGATTTACAGCAGGGTTGGCCAAGGCAAGTCTTGAAGCTCTGGCTTTGTCCGCACACGTCACACCCTTGGCAAGCACTGTGGAATCAGACACTGCCAAGGGCATTAAGCCACTTTTTATTGCTCAAGTCATCTCCGAAGCCCTCCTAAGTCCTTCTCCAGGTGCTGGCATTACTGTGCATGAATAGCTGTGACACTGACAGATGTCATTTGGAGGTCTGCATGCACGATCTCATTAGTCCCCAGAGCCACTGCTGGGGAGGCCCCTTTGGATGATATTTGCAGGTAGGAACGGGGGGCACAGGCTTCGCCTGGTCAGGGACACAACTCCTAAAATCAGGTTGGGACCCACTCATGTCCTAAGATCAGGGTGGGACCCATCCCTCTACCTCTCTCCAGAGCTGCAGCCCAGACGCCGACCCCAAATGGCCCTGTCCCGGCCGTCTCCTTCCTTGCTCCCAGGAGCCTCCCTCTGGCTTGGCTGCTGGGCTCAGGCCACTTTCCTCATGCCAGATTCTCCACACTTCCAAGAGAGCACGGCTGCAGGTTCATCTTCTGTCTCCCTCCCTCCAACAAATGCCACAGCCTTTCCTTTGAAATGGAATAAGTTTTTAGAATGGGTGGTGCTTCCTTCTGTCTAGGTTATAAATGCTTAAAAAGCACATTTCTCTCTCTTTTTTCAATTGTTCTCACAGCACCTATAAACTTGTTACCACCGAGCACGTAGATAAAATAACGAATACATCTTAGGAATTACGAATTTGGTATCGGTTCAGTGTTAAGCTATGCGTCAACTTTATACGGAAGCCTTCAGGGTTTAAATACACTTTATTTCCAACTTTTTGATTTTTCATTTTATGACTGGACACCTTCAATTATCTAACAGCTGCTGCCTTTTAACTGAAAGCATCATGGACCAATGAACCAGCTAGGTGAAATTCTCCCTTGCCCGGGATCTCTACCTTGGGCACGCACACAAGCTATTACACACTTAGGTGTGCCGATCTTGGACGGAGAGCTGCACTTGTGGATAGAAATCTGGATGTTGCACTGTTGATCCTTGAAACTACCTCAGCAAGCATCTTCAGGTCATCCTCCTGCACCCCTCTCCCCTCGTCCTGGCTAAGGCCAAGGAAAGGGTGAACTAACAGCTGCTTTCCTCGAACACTGTCGCATCCTAGGAGCAGCACAGAGGACAGGAGTGGCAGTGGTGAGGCAGCCTTCTTCCCACCTGGGACATGGAAGGCAAAGAAGCAACATCCTCTCTGCCTGTTTCTTCCTTAAAGACAGGATGATGCTGTACATTTGTTTTAAAGCTCAAAGAATCTAACATACAAGACATGCATATTAAGTCCATCTCTTGTGGAAGTCTACATCCATTCTACGTCTACACAAACTCTGAATTTTGACTACTAGACTTATGCACCCTTGTGGGGTACTTGACATGCATCACAAACTCTATTCATTAAAAATGCACAGGTGCAGCTGGACGTGGGCAACCTTCTGGGGCCATGTGGCCGCCGTTCTTAAGGTGGAGAGACCCTGGTTCTATTTTCTGCAGGAGTGCACCAGAATCTATCTATAGCCAGTCATATCTTCTAAAGGGCATTTGTGCAACTGGCTGGGGGGAGGTGGGGAGAGGATGAGCTGTTCTCAGCACAGGTCCTTCTGCACCTTGGCAGACACGGGCAGCCACCCTCTTACAGGGCGAATGTTGATTCAGTGCTGCCCAGGAAACATCACCCAGGTGCCTTCGTCACTTGTACACTAGGACTAAACGCAAGCAAAAACATTAAAGCACTGAGTATTTAGTAACTAAGGACTTCCGAATTGTGACTTCTGTGGCGATCTAGTGATGGGAAGGAAAGGGCTGAGCAAACACTCCAATGTGCACACAGTTTAAGGGTGTCCACAGGAAGCTGAGCGCCCTCCACCCCCCGGGGGCACAGACATGGAGAGAGCCTGGGTCATCGACAGCACCACCCTGGGAGGGCGGAGTGGTGTTCAGGGACACTGCGTAGCTCCCACAGCAGGTCGCTATGCAAACAACACGTCCCTGTCCTGCCTCCCTCTGCCCTCTCTCACCATATGACCGCTGCCCCTGTGCTGTCATCTGTCCCTAGGCTCTCACTGGAAGCTAAATGGGGGAGGCGTGGACACTCAGCTTCCAAAACTGTGCTACATAACCCTTTTGTCTTTAAAAGCACCCAGCCTTGGTTACTTTGTACAGCAACAGAAAACACATTAATATGGCTAACTCACATGAATTAAGTTAACAGGCAAGCTCATTTTATATTTTAATACAGAAAACACTAAAAGTATTTATGAAATTGCTTCTCTGATCCAAGGCTGTACTTTTGGGGATGAAAGAAGAGAGAAAACTTGGTTCTACAGATTTGCTCAGGAGTGTCCAGTCTATGGGTAAACATGGCATCTGATTTATGTCGACCCTGTACATATTCTAGCATATTCTTAGAGGACTCTGGCTGACTCCAGCTGATATTTCTGGTAGCAGAGAGGGCAGAAGAATCACACAAATTAGCACCAAAGTCAAAAGGACTTCAAGATTTCTGTCTTGGAAGACAGGGCGGTGATGGCGAGGTTAACTACAATTGAGGGTCGAAGAGGGAGTCTCAGTTAGGGGATGGATATTCTACTTTGGGATGTGTGAGTTAGAAAAGCCCCGAGTAAAATCATATTATATGAGTTAGCAAACCTGAGGGATTTGGGGAGTAGCAAGTTTAGAAGAAGAATTTACATCGTGAGTTTGCCTCTTTGTCTCCTACTCACTCTGTCTATTCCTCTGTCTCTTTTTCTTTTGAGTGCTCTGACTCAGAGTTGAATGAGCAACACTAAAAGAACATTTAGAAATTGTTCTCAGAGAGCGGAAGAGCTGTTTAACACATTCTAGACCGACACAGCTCATCAAAACGGTAAACTGCAACTCAAATGCCCCCAGCTCCCAGGAGGGAACAATAAAGCATCCAAGGTACTAAATTTAAACTCTCAAACACATTTATAGCTGCATTTATAGTTTTAAAAAATTCTGGATTCCTTTGAAATGATAAGCTAGAAATCTCAGCACGAATGACAGCACAGATATTGTCCTTTGAAAGATACATCTGACTCTTTATCCTTGGATAAGGCAGTAAGAGTGCTTTTATTTCGGAGACAAAATAAATTTATTTACACAAATACAAAATCTGTGAGTTTTAAGTGGAAAGCCTTTCTTTCTCTTTCACAATAATATTTTTTGCCTTCTCAATTGCATGGGCACGTACAATCAAGCACTTTAGTAGTGGAACATGAAATGGGAGTATCACTCTTTGATTACATGAAAACTTGTCCTTAGTGTCTTTCTTCCTGGAAGAAGTAGAACTTGCTAGGATGGCTAAAATGACTTCACTGAGATTACTTGGCTTTCAAAAACAACTGCCTAAATCACAAGAAATTTGTATTTTTCTCTCTAATACAGTAAGGAAAGTGAGTAAGGATGGAGGTGTTTCCAAAGTACATGATTTCTAAGGAAGATACTGACAGACAGACAGAGACACAACCATTGCTAGGTAGACAGATTTCCATTATTTTATACTTTGGTCAGGTCCACAGCTTGAGTAAATATGCCCTAATGGAGTAAGAATTTTTCTCGCCCAGTTTCATATATGGAAGTTTAAACCCCAAGGCAGTGGTAGTAAGAGGTGGGCCATGGAAGGAAA